GATATTGCCAGGCGAGGGGCGGGGACGCGAGACGCGGGAGCGGCGACGTAAGCTCGCCGGCAACGGCGCGCTGTCCCCCTCCTCGCCAGGCAATATCGATCGCCGTGCGGTCACATCTCGCCACGCGCTCGAATTGGACAGTGGGCAGGGCAAAGACGACGATTTTTGATAATTAATTACTCGCTAACTATTGCGAAAATTGCAAATGGTTCAGGACTTTTCTGTTCATCTCGATCCGTTCTACCTTCTCACGAGCTCTGGCACAAATGTTGTGACTCACCCTGTATACGTCGTCGTTCCACGCGATTTCGTTGTGCGTGAACTTTGCGCGAATCGCTGCCGCGTCTCTTGATCTTGTGTGTTATTTCAAAATTGTTTATAAGGATCGACCGATCTGTCTCATTCATCTTCAATGACTTTCGTTACAGCGTAGCCGAATGTCGTGGAGCAGAGTGGCGCATGGCTAGATAAGAGTCTCGCCCGACTTAGGGAACCGGGCGGCATGGGTATGCCGCGTTTCTCCCTGAAGAGATACTTTTTCTACGTGCTATGTCTGACGGGCACGTTACTCGTCTTGCTGAACCTCCTGCAGGACGAGAAATGGCACAGCATGCGGCCACATCCCGGGCAGCCGCAGTCCGTTCGGGCTGCCGGCGACGGGCCAAAGGTACGTGCTAAATTATTAGTTGCCTCAGGTTTTTCGATGGAAAAAGCTATATCATTGTCTGATCGTACATGGAAAAATTCCGTAGTACGTTACACACAAAGTACATTTTTACAACACTCTGCTTGTACATCTAGAATACAAGGAGTAACGGTATTGCGTATAATATTAATTGTTTTCATTAATCACATTAAAAATTGTAATAGCAAACGTTTATTATCGGGCTTTGTTTATCTAAAAAAAAACAATCGAACAATATTTTCTTACGACAAAAGTGAGAATTATAAACGTTATCATTTTTGCAAATATTGTAAACTGTGTTATGGACGTGTGTAAAAATTTGCCATGTGTTACAACATTTATATAGTCAGCTAAACTTGTTTAAAAGTTATTAGCTGATATTGTAATTTTCATTGTAAATGTCGTAAAATATGCAACATGCTAAAATTGTAACTGTATTCAGATTATACCGAACTCTTTCTCATTTTCATGGAATTGATCACTGGATGGTACATTAAAATTTTCGATTTATAATTACAGCAGTTTGTTTCGAAAGATATAAAACGTATACAACATTGTTTTAATAAAAATGTTCCGAATTCATAAAAACGCAATATAGTGATTGATTTATTATGTCATAATGTCGGTATATTTCACAGAAACGGAACTTTTTGTTGCAATTTTTACTACAGTATATATTTTCTTGCGAGGACTATGAAATATCCCGCCGCATAGTTCATAGTTCATTTATTTGTGGCTACGGTTATTTCTGCAGTACCGATTATAATTGCAGATCGACATTGTTTCGGAAGAAAGTGACATAAGAGTAAGTTATTCCCTCGGTATATTCAAACGCATATATTTTTTTTGTCGACCGTGATATCTAATCGCATTTGATAACATGTCAATCGAGAAACTTGATAAATGCACTGGCTCTCGGTGTATATTTCCATTATCGTACCATTATCGTACCTTATCGTACCATTTGTAACCGTATAAGCGCGAATTTGTTTTTTAAGATTATCGCAATCTACCGTGCGATTGTTGCTACGCTAAATATATCGTTGCCGCATCTTTCGATAAAATGGTACAACAGAGAAAGAGAGACGGGAGTGTGCGAACGGTATAAACGGTTGCAAGATGAATCACGGCTGAAGGAATAAAAACGAATTTCGCTCGCAGATGAAGCCCGATTCGCCTTTGAAATCGAAGAAGCCGACGATGCGAGTATTACGCACTCGGGAGCGAGTGAGGAAAAGACTTTCGTCCGAGGTACGGTCAATTGTAGCGTCGATTAATCCCAAAACGACATGTACACGGAAAAAACATTCCGAAGAGACAGACGAAAACCCCACGAGTCTCTCGTATTCGTTGCGTGATTAAGTTCAAAAAATTCCAATGATGAAAGTATATGTACACAGACGTTTCATAAACACATTGTTACTGATTATATTCCCACGAAATTCTGTTTGATATTGTTACTTTTTCCGTGTGTCGTCTTGCTTGTCCTTGCGCTTTAAGTACGGTGCGTATGCTTGCTTTTCGAACTTAGTGGCTTCCTCCTTTTCGACTAGGCTTTCATAGTGCTGGTACAGCGCCCGTAATTTATAAGCCAGACGTACGACGAACATTTACAACGTTCGGAACGAAACGTGAATAATAATTTGTATGGGATTCAGTGATCGCGAATAAATTTCATGTGAAAGAAACGTTTTACGTTTCAATGCTTTACACGCAATTATTGAATACATTGGAAAATTCGGCGAATATTACTTGAAATGTCATCGTGGCTCGTTTGATATTCATTGTGCTGAATTGGCAAAACTGTACGGATAGTTGACGCTTCAGATCGTGAAATGGAAATTCTTATATCGTAGTATGCGTTAGAATGGCTTAATAGTCTAGCCTTAATAGTCATTGCTTGTAGCAGTGTATCGACTTATTTCTTCTTATTATCCATACGTGGGACGAGAACGTTTTATTTCAACCTTACCGTGTCACTCTTCGGATCGTATATTATCCAGTAAAAATGTATGCCGGGGATAAAGGTTTCTGTTGGCTCACGCACAATATTGTGCTTAGGAACTTTGAAAGTAGTCACCTGACTAATCGCATGAATTTTTAGATTTGCTGATAAAACAAACATACACAAAACGAAGCGACTAAGGAAAACGTAAATTAACGACTTGTTATAATTATTCAAGTATTGTAGGTAGTGGAAATGTGAATCGATTCACTATCGCAAGTGTCATTAATACTATACTTGCTGTGAAATTTGTTGAATGCGACATTTAAGTTTACAAACGAAATAGTTCGCAGTATTGCCTTTTTAGTTGCAGCAGAGAGATAATATCGCGCGAAGGATATTTTCCGATTATTCACACATTCTTTTTTATTTGAAGGCAATGAATATAAATGGAACCGCGAGCTTGGGCGAAAACTCGATAGACTCGGACCCATCGCGAAGACCTTGGTACATGAAAGGAGGAACCAGAAGACCTTATCCAGCGATAAGAACTCGCAACACCGGCAGAAGATTGGCTCAATTGTGGCCGGAGGAAGATGCTTACGATGATCGTGTGACTAATCAGGTAATTTAATTGCACGACAATTTGCGGACTTTCTTATTTTAAGATTCAATCGTGCGTGTCGTACACGCTGTAAAAGTTATCTATTATTAATTGTTAATTAATTTTCATGCATATTAAACGTACACATATCGCCGACATTTTGCACAGAATTAAATAGGTATCGGAGAAAAGTTAATGAAAATGTTAAATTATTTTTTTTTATTGCATCGTCGTGTGTTATTGTGTTACAGAATTTTACATTTTTCAATTTATTATTTCTAAAATGTTAGGAAACCCTTAGGAATTTTCTCTGTTTTTATTACTCTTGTAATAGACACAACAATGAGGAACCTTAACTTTAGAAAAAATTAATTTAAAGCACCGACATATCCATATCTATACTATTATCTCTTGGATGATAAAGAGAGAGAGTTTGTAGCCTGGTTTCTTTGTTCGCTATCTTCTTAGAAACCATTTTCTCGATTGCATTCAAATTTTAACTGGCATTTCTATAGCTTCTCGGGATTGATATAAGCTATATATAATCTTTTCGCATTTGAGGATTGCGCATGCGTAAATAATATCATGCACCGTTGGACTGATTTAATTGAATTTTTAATAGTTGTTTCTACAACATTTTGGGAGTGTCATAAACTATGTATTATTATTTCGAGAATGCGCATGCACAGATAATATATTTGACAAGAACAGGAACAGATTTAATTCAAATGTTAAAAGTGGTTTCGAGAGCACCTGGGGAAACGGTTCGTAGAATCTCCTAAAATAAAGCTCCACTCGATACGACATGTTAAATATCAATTTGAAAAGCTGCTAGATTCACATATATGGATTATAATCGAGAATTGTCTCTACAAATTCTATTTTTCCAATTATTATATTACTACGAATATAAATACCGAGTAATTTTATTGAAAATCTTTGAATTTTAGACAGCAAACTTTGGTTACCTCTTACGCTTTTTCGGATATATTTTAAAGGGAAAGAGACACACGTGAGAGCCAATCATGTTAGGTCGCGGGCGAAGCCGCGGGGCACGCCAGTACATTTATAAAGAGATAGAAGGAGTTTCATCGATTTCAATTTTTGTAGCAAAGTATATTAGAAAATTTGCTAGAACTTTACGAATTGAAAATACAATTACAAGTTTGACTTTTCAGTACTCGTTGAGTATGTACTGTTATAAACAATTAAATGTACTTAATTTTGTAATAAATTTAAAGCACTGACATATCATACATTTATAAAGAGGAGTTCCGTCTTTTTTAAATTTTTGTAGTAAAGTGTATTAGAAAATTTGCTAAAACTTTACGAATTGAAAATACAATTACAAGTTTGACTTTTCAGTACTCGTTGAGTATTCACTGTTGTAAATAATTTAATACATTTAAGGTGGCTTTTTTTGTAATTCAGTCGAATAAGCGATTCTGCACAGACATATACTAATATCGTGAATAATTTTACAGTTAATGTTCGTGCCACCCGATTACAACAAAACGGGCGGCGAGAATCATCCATTGAAGAAAATAATGATTCCTCACGGGATGGCCGAAGCCAAAGTCGGTCCTGACATTTTCTTCCAGCAACGCTGCCCGGTGAATACTTGCACGATCGTCCGCGACAATCCGGACAGCGCCGATCTCATTCTATTTAAGGATTACGTCACGCACGTGGGACGGAGATCTTACAATCAGGTAAATCAAATGCAACGACGAGCAATCTCAATTCCTGCAACCCGAGAAAGTGTCGCCTTTACGATTGACCCGTCGCAGCTTTGCTAGCACTACGCATACGTAAGACAAGATTTATTGCTTTCCTAAAGGCAGTTGTGTGATTTTCGGCAGGTGTGGATGCTGTATTTTTTAGAATGTCCTTATCACACACAGAGCGTGAAGAACGCCCTTATCAATTGGACCGCCACGTATCGGCGCGATAGCGACGTAGTGGCACCTTACGAGAGATGGCAATATTACGATTCCAGTATTACACAGATTGCACAAACGTTTAATTATGCGGCAAACAAAACGAAGAAGGTAATTAATCTTAAAATTTCTTCTATTCAGGCCCGGTTTCGCCAACGTCGCTTAACTTTAAGCTTAGCTTAATTCGTTCTTCGTCCCTTTCCAACTGTTACTCTAGAAAGAGACAAACATGAATGAAACTAATTGTAAGATTAAAGTTAAGCGACGTTTGGTTAAACCGAGTCTTAATATTAAATATTAATAATATAAAATGTTTAACTTAAAATAATAAATATTTTACTGTTCTGTGACTCAAAATTCTGGCATGTACTTGTATTCTTTTCGAAATAAGTGCTACAGACAAATCTTGGCTACATTTATTTCTTTAATTAAAATACAATTTTTTAACTCACTTGTTAGTGGTAGACGAAAGCGAGATATACTGTTGAATTTTGTAAAATAGTGACTTCAAATTTTGTACATATTTTATATTAAGTCAGAAACTTAAATTTTAATCAACATCTAAAAACTACACACGGAAATAATGTTTACTTGATGGCAAAGTTAAACGAAACGAAATGATCTATTCTTCAATCATAATTTGTTATTGTATCAATTTTCCTGTTCTCTCAGGTAGAATTAATTCGATATGAAGTACCTACAAATGGAAGGTATAGGAGTAAGATTTCTTATCGAAAGTTTCTTCTGCCACGTGCACATTCTTGTATAACTTACACCTTTCGGGCATGCCCTCGAGTACAGTTATTCTCGCTCTCGCCGGGCACAGAGCAAATACTATCGCACATGACATTCGCCCTCTTCCGTTTAATCAGGTCGCCTGGTTCGTTTCCAACTGCCATCCCCGAAATCAGCGCATGCATTATGCCAGGGAACTCTCGAAATACATCCAAGTGGACATTTACGGCGCGTGCGGCAGCCTGCGCTGCCCGCGGTCGCAGTCGCAGACGTGCTTCGACATGCTCGACGAGGACTACAAATTCTATCTCGCGTTCGAGAATTCCAACTGCAAAGACTACATCACGGAGAAGTTCTTCGTTAACGGACTCGGGTACGTGCGATGATATTTATTGCGCCTTCCTTCCCACCCTGCCTTCCCTCTCACTCTCGCTCTCCCGTTGGCGCGCACAGTCCATACGGAGAGCCGCGATATTTCAGATACGAGCAGCGAATGTAAGCCGGCCGACTTAATACACTCGATCATTTCACCCAGAGGTCGGCAACCTTTGCCAACTTGCGCGGTATCTCGAATAAGGCGGTCGCGTGCCAACTCGCGTTACCTAATCTCTCCTCTGCTCGCGTAATGGACAGAAACGCGTGCTGCTCGCGCGTTATTAATTAAGCTCCCGAACTGGACCCGCGTCGACTCCCGAGCGCGAGACGTGCGACCGCGACACGATCGTGGCCCCCTTTCGCGACACAGTCGCTCTCCTCCCCCTGACTGTGCCAAACCCGCGCGAGCGGACTCTGAGCGTAGACTCGTACAGATAGACCGTGCACCTCGCGAGAGGCTTTCAAGATGGCATATAAAAAGAGAGAGCAATCGAGATCGCGAATGGTGTTTTCTAATGCGTGAGTCGACAGAGGGACAGCATTACGAACTGCCTCTGTCCTTCAGATCGATCTTGTCTTCAGCTTGCTCGTATGAAGACGCGGTCTATTTGTATAAGCCTATAATTCTGGGCGAGGTCTGCTATAAATTTTTCATGGCAGAAAGGCGACAAGTCTGACGCACGGTCTGTTCTATCTGACCATGTTGCCAAACTGTAAATCTGACCTGCTGGCGTGCTATGCCAGCAGATTGATGGCACAAAACCGGGCGGAGTCTGTAGCAGAATCCGCCGCCAGTCTGCTGTCAAATCACGTCAGTACTCGCTAAAAATTAATCGGTGGATTATCACTGATAACGGTGAACGTTCACTGATTCGCTCAAGTATTCAGTGCTGTACTTGCAACTGTTTTCATTGATAACACACTGATTGATTTTTAAGGAGTAAGCTCGGTCGACAGAGGACGGGCTTAGCGCGGATGCAGCTACGGCTTTGTTGTGGGATTCTGATCAAATTTGCTACCAATCTGCCAGCATGCCATCTTGGGTTCCCTCGCGACTATTCCCAAGTAGCACATGGCGGTTCACATGCGCTTTATACACATTTTCTTAAACAACGAAAGAATGTGGGTCGCCAGTAGTTAATTGACGATAAAAGGAATTGTTAGACGACTTTCGGCTGGCAGTTGGTTCATTCATACAAATCCGACGCCTCGACCATGCGGGCTGTGGTCCTTTTCAAGGAGCCGAATAATAAATATTACGTCATCGATATCAATCTAAAAACCAGGAGGTTCGACATCCATCTATGGGCATCACTCGAAGAACTATGTTAGAAGGCACGTCCATCCGATGTAACGACCGCAGCAGGACAGGATGTACCCGCATGGTCGAAACGTCGGATTTAAACGAATAAACCATCTGCCAGCCTAAAGTCGTCTGACGATTCTTTTTATTTTCTGAGGCGTATTCGACGTTCGACAAGACCCAACGTGTTCTACGTAAATTGGCTTATTGTCGCTCCCTGTGTCACTTAATCTCGTAAATCTCTGTTCTCCCCGCGGGTGTGCAGGCACAACGTCTTGCCCATCGTGATGGGCGCCCACCCGACGGATTACGCGCGCAGCGCGCCGTACCGCTCCTACATCCACGTGGACGAGTTCGAGTCGCCGAAGGAGCTCGCCGAGTACCTGCATCGGCTCGACCGCGACGACAATCTGTACAACTCGTACTTCCGCTGGAAGGGCACCGGCGAGTTCATCAACACGTACTTCTGGTGCCGGATGTGCGCCATGCTGCACGACGACCGTCCGCCGAAATACTACAAGGACGTCAACGAGTGGTGGCGAGGGGACGGCGTGTGCACGAGCAGCTCGTGGCGGGAGCACGACCAGGTCGCGCGTCCGCAAAACACCTGAGGATGATAAGTCGCCCCGGGGACGCGTTTAAAGGGCTCTTCCGGCGGCCACGGAGAGTTCCGTGCGTGCCATGCGTGCGTGCGCCCGCCCGCCCACGACACGTTGCTCAATTTCTACAAACTCAATTTCTACAAAAATTCCGATTCTTCCAAAACGGAACGTTGCCCGAGTCCAACGAGGGGCGGCCGGAAGCTTCTGAGAGGGGCCATTGTGCTCTCGCATTTAACGACGGGCGGGCTGCTCGAGGCGGATCGTAAGCGCCCGGGGATGAACGTCGAATCGATCGGCGGGGCTTTTGCGAAACGAGATCCTGGTGAGACGCGAAAGCGTGCCATGGTCTCGCACGACCTCGTTTCACGATCGCTACTCGAGCCGCTCTCGAGGAAGGTATTAATAAGACCCTCGTCGAGAGTATCGCGCGACTTTTCATCACTCGGCCGCTTTTAAGGGGCGCTCAGGAAAGCCGCGACTTGGCTTTTACTCGTTTCCGACGATCGAGACGCGAACAGGAAAGTCTTTCTAAGGGCGAGTTTCACAAACGTCGGTTAACTGCCGACCAAAGGTTAATCGATTCTCTGTCTCTTCTTAGATAATAAGGTAGAAAAGAGATAGGGAGTCGACTGAACTCTGCTTAACTGTTAACTGACGTCAGTGAAACTGGCCCTAAATGAGACTGCTCGCTCGCGCGCGAGCGAACGAATTTTATCAAGGAGGGCAGCGCGTGTGCCTAATTGTCGAATCTTCCAAAGTAACGTTTCTATATGCTCCTTTTTTTTCGGATGACAAACAAAGAGAGGTGAGAACAGCGCCCGAAAGACCCCCTGGGAGGTCATTTTTACTTATACCACGCGCGACGAAATTCGTCCGGGCACAAAATTTTGCGACGTTCGGAAAACGTTTGAAGAAACATTCGAGCAGGCGTGCGGAGGGCGCCGTAAAACAATACAATACACGTGTCACGAGACTCAAGTGTAATACGCGTTTGTCCAGAAGACCCGATTCTCGCTGCGCATTTAGCATTGAACTGTATTGCCTGCGATCCTGGGGTTTATCCGTGCAACTTAAAAAGACACGTACTTGAGACGGAGTATTGGGATCGTTTGCCATTGAGTGTGCGATGAGAACACATGGATTATATGTTTGTATGGGACGACCCCTGAATCACACCGGATAATCTTCCAACTGTGTGTACTAGAGGACCAATTACGAGAGATAGCGATTTAAAAAAAAGAGAGAAGGCGTTAATCAGCATCGAAAATTACGATGTTAATTGACATGAGAAATTGAACATTTTTAAGAAATTTGACTTCGATTATGTGCATAAATAGTATTCGCGAGTAGATTCATAAATAAGATCCGCTGTATGCAATTGTTGTATCACTTTTTCTGTGAAATTAGTGTTACCCACGGTGTGTACCCACCGAATATTTCGTCTGCTGCTAAAGGTGTATCGTTTACAAATCAGTACTACTGCTGTAGCAGTTTTCAGATGAAAAAGTTCAGTTTGTTAAGTAAACCGGAACTTATTTATGAATCAACCAAATAAAATCTTATTCCTCAATCAATTTTATCTCGGCAAAACTTTTAAATCAACCTTAATTATACGAGTAATTAAGTTGACAATTAATTACGATGACAAAAGTGCAAGAAATGCATTGCTAAAACGGGAGTCATTTGCAAATTTATCATCACGACAGCTGGAAGGACAATCGGTGAAGAAAAATCTAAAACGTGTTAGATAAGTAACTGCAATCTAATGAAAGAGAGAGAGAGAGAGAGAGTGAGCAGCCGCGAGATTTGCGTGTAACATAAAAGAACAGTGGCGTCGAAAATGGAGTGTGAACCGCGTATTGTTTTGTAATGCAATTTGCGAGCTCTCGTCGAGGAGGGCTCGCTGCTTTTTGTAGAGTGAGAATTACTGTTCAGTATTTAATATTATTGTTCCTTCTTGCGAATTCTCGCGAGGGGATCTTATCGTTGTAGGCGAAGAAAAAAAAAATTCATGTGCATTCATATTGCGTCACGTGTAAAAGTTGTGTAGTGAACTTTGCTTTTCGGACAATAATCGTGTACGATAATTTCCTGTATATACTCGCACATTTGTGTAAACTCGCTTGTGAAAATTGACCGAGTGCAGGACTTGTAATAGGATCGATAAGGTTCTTGGGTGTGAAGCGTTGTACATTTAACTTGCATTTATATTTTTTGTTAGACGAATGCATGTATTTATGTATTTTGCGAGAACGAAGCGTATTTATTGTTGAGCCACGTAGTATTTATTGAACGTATGTACGATATCGCTCACGTAATAAGCGCGCGTGCGTTTACGAGGTCTCTGAGAGTCTTATCCTTGAGTGCACACGAATTTTTGCTATTCAATAAGTAGTTTCGTCGAGGTTCACAGAATCTAGTCTAGAAGACGCTCAGTGAAGTATTTTTGAATATCATTTATAATAATAGTATTATATACAGCAAGTACCTGTTTGAACTAATTCCTATTAGATTTTCTTTCTTTTCGATTGACTTGACTTTGAATTGAATCAATTGCCCGTGCGGGACGCAGCACGTATTGTCGCACGACGTAATCACGTTCACTCCGTGGCTAGTGTCAATTCGAAAACAACGACTTCCGGTTTGAACACTAGTCTAGCTCAAACGTAGCTCAAACTTGGGCGGATTTCGTCCAGAGAAAAGACAGAAGCACCGAAGGAACAAGGTACGAGAGCGGAGCGCAAAATATATATTTGAAACGCACGAAATGTAAAACACGTAAAATCACAATTTAATCACCTCGAGGCAAGTTTAACCACCGATCTCGAACGGTTCCTACATTATTCACAGTGCGCACAAGCAAGTAAACTAGATATTTAGATAAATAACTAATTAAATGATTAGTCGAGGTCGACCGTACCAATTGACATCGAGAAGACGCGCGTATCTCGAATATCTTGGATAACCGTTTCTTCTTTCGCAGGGTCCACGTTATGCTTACATCGATTTATGTTTATATAAAGAAATTCTTTGTTTTAGATTGAGATATTATATTTTAGCGATTATTAATTTTTACGCCGATTGATGTTGCTTCAGCGAAAGTTATTTCGATCAAGTGCATCACGATTTGAATCAGTGATTCAAATCGCCGCGCGCGGAAGGACGTTTCGGCTGATCCATTTCGCGAGGTCGTAGATTTCGGAGGTTTTTGTGCTTGAATGCCCATTCTGGTCCAAAAAAGAACCCCGAAAACTGCGTAAAATCGAGATACGACCTTGCGAGAGGGATCAGTCCATTTGTACAATTAGATATTATAGTGTTAAGTTGCAAATTTATTGTTTACGTCGTATGAATCTAATTAGACTTTTTTTGTACATACGCAACCCCGGTATTCCTGTTAATTTGTATACGTTTTTGACAGCAATCAAAAACAGGGCGGAACAGCGAGGTCTGTTTGTAGAAAACGAACAAGTTCTTAATTGCATTGTTAGGTTTATTAACGATTGGTGCTGCCTGTAACGATTGGTGCTGCTGTAACGACGTATGTAACGTGTGTGTACGTCGACGACGAACTCCCGATTCGAGCGGCCAGTGTAGACCCGAATATAAGTACGAAACACTAGATTTACGTAGGCAGCGAAAAGGGCGCGAGAGAATAACGCACGCTCGATGCCGAGATATATCCGTGGCGAAGTATGTGATAAATAAATGTTTCTCGAGTATATCGTCGATGTCAAGTACCCCCGATGTGCGCGAATTGTAGGATGACAGTCGGGAAATTGTTGCAAATAAATTGGCCATTGTTTCGTGACGAACGAATGGAATTAATTAAATGCTACCACGCGGGAAGAGATCCGTCGTTTGTATTAGCAGATGCAGGAACTGTACAATCTCGTGGGCTTGTAAGAAGAAACGTAAATTTGCAAAAATGCTGAAAATTTGGCCGATCGCACGTCTAGAAAGTGTCAACGTGATCGGCCATTTCTACAAGAGGAATTTATCTGGAGTTCTTCGAAGTTGCGGTTAAAAAGTGTACTTAATTGTCTTGAAAAGCGCCTCGACGCGACGCCTCGACAGGTTCGGATTATCATTTCGACAACGTATTACCGAGGCACGTCGCCAGCCGAATTGGCTCTTTCTTCAAATTGATATTTAGTTTCTATCCTATTATATTCTAATAATGATGGATTTCTCGCACCGTGTAGTGTTTAATTTATTTCACTTTGTTCGCCCTGAATTACGATACGAAGTAACAGCTGTTTAAGGGGATGCTGGAGTGATTCTGCACTTTTGCACCTTTCTAACCTAAAAAC